ACCCTTCTGACTGTTAAAAGTCGTTTGTCCACAATGGAGGTTTTTTTTTTCCTTCTTGGGTGAGATCACGCAAGTATTAATGTGTCATCAAACCCGCCGGCACCCGACACACCCAGTTAGTAAGGTTTGTCACGTAAACAAAACGTGCCAAATAGTTACTACTTCAGCACCACCAGTGTGTTGGAGAGCAACATTTACAATTCGCGTCCCGTGACGTTTCGCCTGTACTTGAGCGATCTAACAAAACAAAAAAAAACCTCCGTTGTGGATACCATTGGTCGCGAAGGCCTACTAGTACTATAAGCAAAAGCCACTTGACATATCGTGCTCGACGTTTTGTTCAAGTAGATGGGAACACTTGCAATCTGTCTAACAATACCCCTGGCACGTCTTCCGCTATGCTATCCCATTCACCTGTCCACCGCACGAAACTTTCAGCCGTTGCGCATGTGTTCGCCGCGCGAGTTCACCCACGGGTAAAGACGACCCCCCCCCCCCACATCCCCACCCCCTGCACGGATTTCACGGTATAAAAATTGCCGTACATACTGTACGCATGCACAAGCCCGGGCAAAACAAATTCCGCTCGCCCAACGAAACAAATGTGTGGGCCTGGTTCGACAGACGTACACTCGAATGAGCAGGGTGAGAGAAACCAAACACAGGAGGAGAAGGATTTCTCCACAACTCTGGCTGTTGCCTGATGATGCTGGTTGTTGTTCTTGTTGTAATTACCGGTGAAACATCACGGTACTCGAATTGTAAATGCTGTAGTGGGTTTCCTCTCCAACACACAACCGGTTAGTGCTGGACTAGTAACGAATTGGGCACGTTTTGTTTACGTGACAAACCTTACTCATTGGCTGCGTCGGTTGATGGTGGCGGGTTTAATGACGCGTTCATATTTACACGATCTAACCCAAAAAAAAACAAACTCCGATGGCTATTATTGGTCGCCAAAGCCTACGACTACTACGACTACTACGTGTTAAACCGACTACGTGTTAAACCGACTACGTGTTAAACCGACTACTTGTTAAACCGAAGACGTGTTAAACCGAGGATGAGAGAGATGGCGAGCTTCTCGCTGGCAAGCGAGACCCACGCTCCGGTATTGCATTTCACCGGCTCGTTTCCGGCGCCATTTTTCGTATTGTTTCGCTTCCTTCGATAATTTTGTGCCCCCCCGCCCCTTTCTTTCTTTCTTGAACTGCAACGTATTCGCCGAGGCCGGTGGCTTTCACGCTTTGCTCTTCTCCCCCTCTCACGCTCTCGCCCTCCGCATTTTTTGACGCGTACGGCGCACGCTGCCTGTGACGTTGCGCGTGCGTTGGCGGTGGGCGGTGGTGTAGGGGGGGCGTCGGCGTTGGAGGCGTTAGGAAGGTGATGGGCGTGATACCGCCGGTCCCTCGGTGGGCAGCCGTGCCCCCCGATGGCATCCGATGACGTTTCTCGCGGGTCCTCGAGCGCGGCTACCTGCCGGGTCGTGATTGGCTGATGGCACAAGGCCTCTGGGCGCGCGCGGTTGCTGACCATCACTGACCATTGATGGCCATTTTCGCGGCCGTTTATTTACTGGTGTGATTGCAATTGTACCGGATGTTGAACCTCTTTCGCACCGTACGTAGCCAACCGCTGCTAATTGGAGGGTGCGGAGGAAGGACGACAAACTGAACATGCAAAATGTGTTCGAAATTTTTTTTGCTTTCAATGCATATTTAAAAGTGCATAGCTCTAGTGGCTTCCTAATGTCGCCTGTGTAAGCTACGTGAACCATCCACCAGTAGAAAATCCTTCAGATTACATACGCCGTGTCCCCTCGATTCCGTTCCGTGAAAACCACGATGCCCCCGTACGTTACGTCGCCGTGCAACGAGAGTGTATTGCTACGACAAAGTGAAAATTAGCGGTCACATTTCTAAAAGTGAAGCCGCTTCTTTGATGTCGCTCTTGTCGGACGCGGGCAAGATGGTCGCAGGACTCAGGATTAATTTTTTACGTCTTGGGCCAGCACCCGCCCAGAATCTCCGGGGGTTTCAGTTCCACATCCCCACTGCAATTGCAAAAACTGGGTCTCGAAGAGTGGTAATGTGCATTGAATGTGGCGGATTGAGTGAGTGCAGTCTCTGCGTATGCGCGAGTAGAACTTAGCACGGATTTGTGGAGGGTCTCAAAAGTGGCGACCACATTTTACAATGCCAATTCTCGCTGGGTGCGGGGGGGGAGTTATCGTGTGAAAGCTTAGACTATCACTGCTGGGTTTCCTGCAAATTTGACAGATGCATCCGCTGTAAAAATAATAATATTATTTAGCTATTATCTTGATCTCGCGTTACTGGAGCGGGGCAATAGCAGCCTCATCGGCAGTGCGGAGTGACAGCCCCGAGTCGTCCCCGAGTCCGCCCCGAGCTCCCGAGTCCGCCCCGAGTTCCCGAGTCTGTCCTGAGTCCACCCTGAGTCCTCCCCGAGTCCGCCCTGAGTCTGCCCAGAGTCCACCCCAGCTGCAATCGCGCACTGTGGAGGCAGCAGTGAGAGTTGGTGGATCAACGCACGGGTGTTTCGAAACTCTCTTCTCATGGGCGTCGAGGAGGTGACATACACCCTGGCTCGCTACGAGAAGGCAGTACAGCAAGTGGACTAATCGCCACCTGTTTCCGTCTGTACGGGGAATAGAGCGTTGCCCCCTCGCCCCGGGCGTGCGTTTTCCCTGGATGCTCCGGATTCCTCCCCACACGTTTAATAAATACGACTCGTCCTTAATTGGCTGCAAATATTTTTAAAATAAAAAAAAATCCAATGTAGTAGCAGGACCCATCCTGAAAATTGATTCCCGCGACTCAGTGTGCCAATGCGCAGCCTAACGGTTATTCAAAAGTAGGCCAAGGCCTCCGATTGGCAGAGAGAGGCCTCCACGGTGATTGGTCGGGAGGCAGGGCTTTTGATGTGATTGGAGGAGAAGGATTTGAACGAGAATAGGCGGGAAACAGAGTGGAACCCAGGGGCGACGGTTGGAAACCGTCAGAGGGGAATGACAGGGATTGGCTAGGGGATAAAACAGCGAGGGAACATTCGAGAAAGGGGGCTCGAGTGTTAAAAAAGGGCAGAGCACAAGGAGAGGGGACGTTCAAGGGGAGGGACGAGCTTCAAGACCAAGCCCAGACCCAGTGTTGTTACTGTGCTATAATAAAATAGGCTCCTAGTAGTTCGTCGTTTGAGTAATTTCACCAGGATCAAAAAGTGAATTATTTTAATTACCGAAGTCCCGAGACCACTTTTGAGCCCATCCACCTGAGACGACCCGAGTCCTCCGTCGATGCGCGATGACATGGACTGCCGCTGACCACTTCCGCGGTGGCTAGGAGATGTTAACTGCCTCGCCTGGTATACAGGAGGTTGTGGGTTCAATCCAGTCCCTGACGCCTGCTGTATACTTGGAGTTCTCCCCCGTGGTCGCGTGGATTTTTCTCCGGGACCTCCCGTTCTTCATTCCACATTTAGAATCAACGTGCGTTTAAAGTATTTGCCGACTGCTATAAATGTCCACGTGATGATAAGCCACTTCGTTGAGCTGTCATTTGTGGCCAGGTAGCTGCTGAAAAAGAAGCTATAATATAGCTCAGTGGACCTTACCTGGCAAAATACAAATAGCATTTTAATCGTTTATAGTTTACTTTAGCCACAGAGGGGGTTGCGGCCACGGTGGACATGGGTGTGCAGGTTCATGAATCTAAATTAAAAGAAACAATCAAACATGTAAAAGATTAATCTAAATAGAGACTATCCCTTAATCCATACTCGATTTTTAAAGGAACGAAGAACGCAATTTACTCTGGAAATGTGACTGGTTAACTTATTTGCACAATTTACACTTCATCACTGTGGTAAATGTAGCCATTCACTACTTGTGTCGTCAGCATTGAGATCTGTTTCCAATGTACGACATTCGCGACATACATTTCATTTCATACAAGCATTTGCCCATTTGGATATCAATGTAACGTGTCGCGTAACACATGACATGACCGTGCTCATCGCTCTTCATCTGATGCTACGTAACGCGGGCCCAAGTTAAAAGGCCTGCATTTAAACGTTTGCTTGTGAAGCAGATCTTCTCTTGAACAATTAGCGGCGCAGATCGTATTAAAACCCGGAGTCACTCGGGGTTTCTGGAAAACTCCATTCGACTCAATTAGACCGCGGGCAATAATAGGTGTCAGTGCCATAATGCAGAAAGGGCAATAAACTGTAACGTCACCTGCGGGTTATTCATTGTGAAGTAGAAATGACTAATTGAGTCTCTATTTTACAATTATCCGTAGCGTGAGGGTTACAAGGTGATTTAATTCTCACACCGTCCATAAAGGTTAACAAACGGCATATATATTTCATTTCTGTCATCAATATTATCATTGTTACAGAGTGCTTTAATTATTCAAAGTGTTTACTTTTATAATAATTCATTACACATCCCCCTCTCTCCCCGCTCGCCCCCCACTCACTCGGCTGTGAGTATCCTCTCCTCTCTTCATAGTAAAGGGTTTTGGGTTAGATCGCGTTATTTCTAAATGTGTTGCAACCCTACACCACCCGACACGGCCAATCAGTAAAAAAAAGTGTCACGTTGACAAAAGACAAAATAATTCACTACTTTAGTCCACCGTTGTGTTGGAGAGTGAATCCACAATATTTACAATTTGAGTAGGTCGACGTGGAGGGCTGCGACACATTTATAAACAACGCGACCTAACCCCCGAAACCTTTATTATGAATAATACTGGTCGCGAAAGCCTACGCGTTAATTCCTCCTCTCTGTACATTCGCGTGATGTAACAAGTGAAAGGAGTTGAACGTGCTCTTCAAGGCAAGTGTGAGTCTCTGTCTGTGGTGAATGCCTTCGGGGTGATTGTCTGAGGCGGCTGTGTAAGGACATCGTCTCTCTCTCTGACGTTGTGGCTTTCAACCGGCAAGGGCCTAAAGTTGATGCCTTTGCTTACCCACAGAGATGCCGGCAAGTGACCCCGGGCTATCCCGTGGCTCGTTACCAACGTCCGTGGCTCATTTACTCAATTTCACACACACACACACACGAAAAACGATTGCAGCAAAAAGATTAGTTATTTTTTTTTCGGAGGTTTTTTTAAAATTTTCTTTTCATTTCCTTGATTGTAGGGAGACAGAGAGAGAGAGAGAGCGGTACAAACTTTTAACATCAAAGGCCACTATTTTTGGTGGTCACATGTTCACATGGTGCAAAAATGAAGACCTGGTACAGACACACCGATCTCCCACCACCTGCCCCCCCCCCCATTAAAACCACAAAGCCCCCCCCCTCCTCCTCCTATCCCAGCACCTCACCCCGACACCGCTCCTGCCAGGAAAGCAAAGGCAATACATGTTCCCTGTGACATCTGCCACTGCTAGCCTTACGCGTGTGCAGTTAGTAAGCGAGCGTGATTCTGACCGCTTTAACTCGCGCTGCCGTTCCGAACCCTTCCCGGGGCCGACTACTGCTTCTGTTTAAACGTCCAAATAACCGTAACACTTTTACAGCGCTTCCAGACCACGTCCAGTTGTACATAATCGATTACTGTGAAAAGTGTGCCGTCCCAAGGCAGGGGCGGGGGGGTGGGGTGGAATATATAAAACTATCAACCGTGTTTATTTTTGTGTTTCTGTAATAAGATTTTGCGAAACAAAGTGCAAGTGCTTTGATCAATGAATGGATATGTGCTGTTATGATCGCGGAAATTGGATGATAGGCACGGTTAACAGGAACAACATTTGGTCGGCATATACGTGGCTGTATAAAAAGTGATCTTCAATGGGCTTTCCAAACTTTCCCAAGATGCAGTGCTTCTCGTTGGCATTTGCTCCACATCGAAACCTTGGTCTGTATTTTGACTTGTTCTTAATTTTTAGTCGAGTGATTTAAAGAAACAACAAAAAAAACAAATCAATGCCTCCCAATAATACGGGCAGCCACGCTTCACAAATACCGCGAGACTCAAAGGCTCAACGACGATGTTGAGCTTTCGCGATTTCGCCAAATGAAGCTGACATAGCGCAAACTGTAAATGCAACAAAACGATTGTTTAATTATTCTTGGTTCTTTCGGTAAAGTCACCACGTAGAAGGGAAACAATAAAATAATAAAAATATAAAACAATACAATTCTCACGACGTTTCGACTGCAACACAAGCAATCATCATCAGGTGTGGAAACCACAACAAGAAACTGCTTTTCACACCTGATGATGATTGCTTGTGTTTGCAGTAGAAACGTCGTGAGAATTTAATTGTTTTATGTTTTTATTGTTTCCCTTCTACGTGGTGACTTTACGGAAAGAACCAAGAATATGAATCCCTGCAGTCACGAAAGCTTTAAATCAAAAGATTGTTTAATTGCCCGATAGTCGCAAAATAATTCGGATGCAAAGATAAATGCCCGCCCCCCCCCCCCCTAAACTTTGCAATACATCCGTTTCATCACGGCACCGCTCAGGACTATCGTAGATTTCAGCTCTCCAGCAATGTGCAGCTCTGTTACGTTGTTTGGCTGGGTGGTGGTGGGGGGGGGGGCGGTGACCAGCCGCATTCGTTATTCGACTGCTGCCCTTTCATTCATCGGCCGTGGGGCTTTGCTCCTCGCTAAGAGAATGCCCCCTTCGCTGCAGAGCCAACCGATGTCATGACCAGTCACGGTAATCACGTTTGGAACAAATGCCACCTGGGAATTGCCGACGCCCATCGGGCAATGGGATGGAATGTGTTTTTTTTTCGTTGCTTCTTCTTCTTCTTCCGAGTGATTGAAAAAGGCTTTTTATTTTTAATGTATACGAATTAGCCACTACCCCGCCCCCCCCCCCCCCCGAGCGGAAAACGATAGTTGGACGGCTGCGCGCATACATGTTAAATTCGCGTGAACATCGGCAATAGACGTGTTTGCATATGGTCTGTACAGTATATACATGCATAAATGCTGTGCGATACGGACTGCCGATGAACCAATGGAAAGGAATACAAGTTCTGTGATACGCTGAAACGTATAGCCTGTGCGGCAAAATTACCCTGTGTTTGATGTTTTGTAATCTCAAAAGAGTGTAATTGTCCCTAAAAGTTGTTGTCTTGTCACGTCACGGCAGAGCACTTTATGAACGCACGACACGCGACCCCGAGTGCTTTTGAGGCCGAGCGCTCGGCAATGCAACGAGACCCCATCTCCAGGCTTGCAGAGTTTGGCTGGCACCTCGTAGATGGGCAGTATCCGAAAGCAAGTCGGTCGCTTGCTGACTTTACCTGTGGACTTTCGTTGCGTTCATTTCTAGGTTTTTTTTTTTCTGGGCATTTTAGATGCAAAAAAAATAAAATAAAATTCGTTTAAAAGCTGACTCAACGCGGGGGCAGTTTTGACGAATCTCGGACGTGCGTTTCCCCGACGCTTTAAAACACGCCGGGCGAGTCATTTATATTCTTGGTTCCCTTCAACGTGACTTTACCGAAAGAACCGAGAATATGAATCCCTGCAAGTCACGAAAGCTTTGAATCAAAATATTTGAGTCATTTATAGTTTAAGCTCGATGAAGGGACATTTTTGTAAAATTTTTTTTTTACTTGGGCATGGTTCGACGGGCAAAGAAAAATGAGGAGGGCGATTCGGGCAGAAGCGAATTGTCCACATTTATATCTCGGTTTAAGGGAAACCGCATGGTAAAATTACTACGGGGCCTGGGACGCGCTGTAGACGTGGAACCGACCGACTATTTTCCCCCACCGCCACGTTGCGATGGTGACGGAACGTCTTCTTTGGTTCTTTTGGTAAAGTCACGTAGAATGAGAATAAAATAATAAATTGATAAAATAAAATAACACAATGAAATTCTCACGACGTTTCGGCCACAACACAAGCGGCATTTTGCATGTGTTTCAAAGTCACGTAGAATGAGAATAAAATAATAAATTGATAAAATAAAATAACACAATAATATTCTCACGACGTTTCGGCCACAACACAAGCGGCTTGTGTTGTGGCCGAAAGCCGCTTGTGTTGTGGCCAAAACGTCGTGAGAATATTATTGTGTTATTTTATTTTATCAATTTATTATTTTATTCTCATTCTACGTGACTTTACCGAAAGAACCAAAGAAGATGAATCATTGCGGTGACGGAACGATTCGGTTCTCGCCTCTGCACGAGTCAAACGATTAGCTTTTCTCCACCCCCCACCCCCCCCCCCCCCCCGTAAATAAGCCATATTTTTTTTTTTAAAACTTGCAACGATTAACTTTTCTTTGAGACTTCTTGGACTCTTTGACGTGCCTCGTTTCGTGCAGCGGCGCCCCACGCGTGCGACGAGAGAGAAACTGGCCAAACGTTTTGAAGGGAACCCTCCTGAAAACAAAATCTATATTATATTGGCTCCGTGAGGCTCATATCCCCGATATAAAAGGGAGGATTGTTGTTCCCTTTGAATGCACTTTTTAAGCAAAGTTGTTTTTTTCGTTTTGTTCGTGTAATTGTTAAAAAAGAAAATGTAGATGTATTTTAAAACAAGAGACGGCTATTGATTTAAGTTTCTGTCGTTAGGAATGTATTCAAAGTCTATGTGTCTATACCATATCAATGTGGCATTGTAATTTACTGTATATTGCACAGCTCACGTATGTATATACCAGATTTGAAGTTTTCGTGACTGCAAGGATCCATACTCTTGGTTCTTTCGGTAAAGTCGCGTATGGTAAAGAAAATAAAAATTAAATAAAAAATAAATTAAATCACGTGATTTAAATCACATGAATTAAATCAAATGGATGAAATCACGTGATTTAATTTATTCTTGATTTATTTTCTTTTCGTTTCTTGCTGTGGTTTGTCCCCCGCCTGATGACGGACGCTTGTGTTGCGCCCGAAACGTCGTGATTTAATTTATTTTAATTTAAATTTTGTTTACCTACGTGAGTTTACCGAAAGAACCAAGAGTGTGTATAGACCGTTAAGATTATTCACAGCCCTTTTATCAATCCACTGCCGGATGAAAGCCTTCCTGCGCCGTGTGGGGTTTCGTGGGGTGTATTTTGACCTCGCACACAGCGACAGTAAAATTGATGCGCTATTTAAGGATTTCCCCATCGGCAAGTTACTCGGCATGGCATTTTGTACTTTGTTTCAAGCGCGTTCTGGAATCATCGGCGAGCCGTAGCCAATCCAAAATCGATTCTAACCCTTCGAAATATACCTCGCGTGAGCACTTCGCCTCTCTCTCTCTCTCAGTGACAGCTCCCGTCATCCACTTTTACCTCCCTGCTGTTCAGAGACCGGATGACGGTACGTGACAGTTTGAGTTCATGCCATCAGACTTGACGCTCCGCTCTGTAACCGAGGACTGGCCGCCGTGATTTCACGTGTCGTAACCGCGGCTGCTTATGCCGCATTCCTCGTCCAGACTTCACGCCCGTCGTGGACTGTCGCGACATGGACACGCTTTCTGGATTCATGCTATGCAACGCCAAATTGTATTGTTTAACGCTGCAGTTGCAAACAGAGTTCGTATATCTTCTTTGGGTTTCTTTCGGTAAAGTCACGCAGAATGGGAATAAAATGATAAATTAATAAAATTAAAATAGCACGATAAAATTGTCACGACGTTTCGGCCACAACACAAGCGGCCTTCTTGTGTTGCGGCCGAAGCGTCGTGAGAGTTTTATCGCGTTATTTTATTTTATCAATTTATTATTTTATTCTCATTCTACGTGGTGGTGACTTTACCGAAAGAACCAAAGAAGATGAATCCTTGCAGCCACGAAAGCTTTAAATCGAAAAGAGTTCGTATGGCCAGGTGTTGTGGGGCACAAGCCAACACAACCGCGGAGCATTCTTTAAAAATTCAGGCACTTATACGCATGCACAATGCGCGCGCGCATGTAATGGCCGCTCCGTTAAATCAATTGCAGTCGGGATATATGAAACAAATATATAACAATAATACGTGGAATGTATTGTGAGAAAGGGATATGGTGTTTCAGTTCAAGAGGCCTTTACTGAGATCAATTCCACCGTCCGTGACAACCACCGGCCACTTGCAGGCAGTC